CAGGGTTGGTGGGAGACGGGCCTCAGACCCCGGTTGCCTGAAGGATGCAGGGGGACGCCTGGCCCTCTCCGCCCCGCTCCCCACAAGCTGCTCCTCTACCTTGTCGCATCCCTCCCTGACTTCAGGGAGCTCGTCCTTTCTTCTCTCCCCAGGGAAAAGGACAGTCCAACCTCAACTGGGCTTCATCCCCTCCATCATTCCCACCCATTGGGATGGGGCCACTCTACTCTTTCCATCTTATCACCAGGCCTGAGGCTCACATCACCTCCTGCCATCTTCAAACATTTCCACAGGCCCTGCAGACGCTGAGGGACAGTTTGGGGAGAGGGCTTGGCAGCCTCCTTGACATCACCTCTGGGGTTGGGTCGGGGTGGCCCCAGTGAGCTTGACTCAGAGGAGGGGAGGCCAGGCCCCACCTTGGTGCTGGCCAGTTGCAGGCTGAGTGGGTCCACGGGGCTGCTTCCTGTTCTGTTTATTTCTTCTGAGTTCAGGAAATCATTGAGTGAAACATCCTCCCCCAGCCCCCGCCCCGCGATTATTTAATAGGAGCCGAGCTGTGGTCTCTCTCTTTTGGAAAATCCAGTGGGAGAAGGAAGCTGTCAGCTCAGCTCTGACATCAGCTTTGTCCCTTTGCCAAGAGTCAGGGTGGCCAGGGCGGGGGGGCCTGGGTGGGGTGCAGAGGAAACCAGCTGCTGGTGGCCCCCGTGACGTGAGGCTGCCACACGGTTCCCAGGGGCGGGGGCTGCAGGATGAGGAGCAGGGATTGTTGGAGACACACTCGGGGACACACGCGCATACACGCACAGGGTCAAGCCTCCCCACTTGTGCCCAGAGACCCCTCACCACGCACAGACTCACACAGACACGGGGTCAGACACACACTCATACAGGACCCACACACACCGTGACACACACATTCACACAATCACACACAGGGCTCACAAAGTCAGCCAGGGATGTGCACGCTCCAGCTCTCTCCCCACCACACACAGGCAAACAGACCAGCACAGACACACATGCGCACACACACAGGGTCAGACACAGCCAAACACAGCCGTGCAGACACACCAAGGCCCTCGCCACACACACACACACACACACATACGAATGCCCACTCAGGCCCAGACAGACAGACAGACCCACAGGGAGTCCGGCGGGCGCTCCCAGACACAGGCTGGGCCTCTGGGCTGCAGGCTTCCCTGGAGGGGGCCCTGGGGCCACTTCCTCCTCTGCTCCCTGCGGTGAGGATGAAGGGCTCCCGGGCAGAGTGAGGAAAGGCCTGTGACTATCCAGGGCCCCACCCGGGCAGGGCAGGGCAGGGCAGGGCGGGGAGCCCGGGATCTGAGGCTGCGGAAGGGAGTGGACAGTGAGAGGTTGGGCCCTGGGAGGGCCTTTGTCCCAGCAGGGGGTGATGCCAGGCCTCCGCCACCCCCCACACGAGCACCTGCCCTGCCCCGCCCGCGGCACCTCCTGCCCATTCCTGAGCTGGAAGGGATGGTGGCGGAGGTGGAAGTCAGGAGCCCAGCGCTGCCAGCTGCTGAATGACCTTGGGCAAGTCACTCCTCAGCCCCTCAGGGCTTGGCTTCCATCATCGATGCCAGTGGCTTACAAACGTTTTTGACCACTACCCTCAGAAACACTGCACCTTGCAACCAGAGGATGATGCACACACTGACACATACAGACAGCGGAAAAAAAAGGGTTTCATGGAGCGGTGCTTGCCCTCACTCTGGGCGATGCTGGGCGATTTTGCTATTCCACTGCCTTTTTGAAAGTGCTGGCAGCAGGCCTCTAGAGTGAATCCATAACCCACTAGGAGGCAGAGACCCACGTAAGAAAATCTCACTTCTACACCTGCCTGCAATGGTCTCGGGCTAGTTCGAGATTCAGGGAGAGGCTGGGGGAGGTCAAGGGCCCACGGAGGCTAAAATGCCACATCTGCTAAGTGCTCCTGGATGATCAGGGAGGAGAGCAGCCCACTGTACGGAGGGAGATGCCGAGAGCAGAGCCTAGAGTGGAACCGAGCCCCATGCAACAGCGTTGGCCTTGGAGCCAGGCCTCTGGCCCTGCCACCAGGAGGGCTCTGTGGGCTGCTGCTTGCATTTCCCTTGCAATTTCTATCAGAGTTGAAGAAAAAATGCAGTCACTCTGATTCACCTCCAGGGGGGTGATTCCTGACGCAGACCTGGTTGGGAAATGTCAGAGTGATGCTGGGGGCAGCTGGCGGGAGGCCAGGGTGGCTTCTGGCTCCAGGGGGTATATCTGGTCCCTGTCAGAGATTTGATGGCATGAGGGTAAGAAGGGGCAGACTATAGGCTCAGAGCCTGGGCCTCAAGAGCCCCAAAGACAGCTGGGCTCTGAGGTGGGAAGCTCTGCTTAGTCCCCTGAGGCCAAGGCTCTGAGAGGCTGCCTGTTCCCCCAGGACCCACGCCACCCTCTGTGTACTGAGAGGACACAAGGGCTCTCCCTGGCCTAACTCTCAGACCACGGTGACGCACTGACCCCTGGATCCAGGCCCGACCCAAGCCCCCGACTGAGGCTGGGGTTCCAGTCCTGCCCGTAACCACCCAGAGCCCTGATTAGAATGGCCGTCGCATGTTGGGCACTTTATCTGTGTTTCCCCCTTAACGTCCCCACGACAGCATCATGAGGCCGGCACTATAGCATCCGCACTTTCAGAGAGGACGTTGAGGCTCAGAGAGAGGAAGCCAGTTGCCTCAGGTCACACAGCTGGGAAGTAGTGTGGACAGGATTCGAACCAGTTTCACCTCTAAGCCACACCCTTATCCACGGGCACCACCACGAGCTGAGCCCCAGAAGACCCAAAGTTAACTTGCAAAGCTGAGCCACGGGCCACAGAAAAGTCCACGAGAGCACGTGGATGGCTCCGTGGTGCTGCGGGGTGGAGTGGGGTCCACAGGTGTGGCTACACCCTCATTTCTCAAGTGCTGAATAATGAGGTGCTTTTGCCTTTTTGGACAGGCCACCCAACTGCCAGGGCTGTGCCAGGAATTCCTGAGCTTCTCCCATCTCCTCTGGCTGCCTCTCACCAGCCCTGCTAGGCCACACCCTCTGGCCCCCAACTTCCTCCCCATCTGATTCCCCCGTGCTTGTTTCCCAGGTGGGAACATCAAGGCAAGGGGCTGGGCAGGAGCTGGTGGCTAAGAGCAGCTGCTGGTTGGGTTTTCAGAGACCTGAGATCTTAGGTGGGCACAAGGGAAGGCGATGGTAAACAAAGGAGGGAGGCTGGGCTGGGCAGTGGGGGTTGCCCAGAACACTCAATTTCTGGGTCACTGGTCTTGGGGAATTCCCCAATGCCCAGAGAGCTGCTTACCTGGTGAGTAACTGCTGCTGGCTGCCCACACAGGATGCCTGACTGTGAGGGGACCTCCCTGCCCACCCCTGCCAATGGCCACTGCCACGCTGCCCTCTCCCCTGAGTGCCCTGGGGGCCCGGGAAAGAGACAGACAGAGAGGCAGGGGGCTGGCCCCCGCCCCCGCCCCCCCCCCCCCCGTGGGGCTCCGCAGGGGGCGGCTGGTGATTCAAGCCCCTTTGAGCTAAGCTGTGTCTCCTTCCTTCTCAGAAGGGGCCTGGGGGTGAATCAGCTCCTGGGGGCGGCGAGGCCGGGTCACCCGCTGTCCTCAGCTCAGGCCTGGGGTGGGGGTGGTCAGGGGCCAGGATGGGACAGAGGGAGAATGGGAACACTGCCATGCCAGCTCCCCACACGACCTGTCGGATCTTTCTAGGGCACCCCTGAAGCTGGATGATGTAAGGGTGTCCTGCCTCCATTATCCGTCAAGAGAGGGTGGACGGGTTCCTTTTCTGTCCAGCTTTCCCCCTCAGCCCTGGAGTGAGCCCAAGTCTCTTCGTCTATAAAATGGGGACAAGACCCCTACTTCACAGGGCGGTGGTAAGGATGAACGCCAACGTGTAGAGGGCTTGCTGGGTGCCCAGAACTGCGCTGAGCTCTGAGCCCTCACAGCAAACCCACAGCGTAGGTGCCATTCTTCCCATTTTACAGATGAGGAAACTGAGGCCAGGAGGTGATCACTTCCTCCAAGTCACCCAGCTCATAACTGGCAGAGCCAAACCTCCAACCCGTCTCTGACTGAGGCCAAAGTCCACGCTGCAAACCACCAGCCTCCACACCTCCTCTCCACAAGAGATTTGGCACAGGCACCTTCTGGAAATTCTAAAATGCTTTTAGAAAGTACTTAACATCTACTCTGGTGTAACCCTGAGCCAGGTGCTGTCAAGAGTGCAAATGAGTATCAGATCCCATCCAAGCCCTCAAAGAGTGAGGAGTAAGACTCGTCCCCACCTGAAAGGAGAGTGGGCAGGACTAGGCAGACTCAGCCAGTCAGGGCTGTGGGAGGCAGGGAGGTCATCCTGGAAGAAGTGGCCAGAGTGCCCCTCACCATCCTTCCCCACCCCCGTGGCGTGAGCTGCTGTTGGCATGGCTGTGGCCTGCAAGCCAGAGGCCTGGGTTCCAGACCCCGCTCTAGTGTTAACTTTCTGTGTGGCCCTGGGCAAGTGCTTTTACCTCTCTGAGCCTCAGTTTCCGCATCCGAGAAATAAAACATCTGTGACATTCGAAGAGGGGCTTGTGGATGGCGGGGGAGAATCAGAAGAAGGGGGCTGGGTGGCTGCACACACCAAGGAGCCCTGAGGGGCCCTGGGAAGGTCCCAGGCCAGCACACGGGCTTGCTTCCTAGATGGCAGAGCCACCTGGAGACAGCACCCCCAGGCTCTGGCCTGGGAGCCCCTGGCCAGGCTGAGGGGGATCCTTGTGGGCCTCGACTGTCCCCCTCACCCTGAGGCTGGTCAAGTCCCCAGCAGGCCAGTGTGCAGGAGCAGGACAGGCTGGGGATGAAGTCACCACTGAAAGGGGCCGGGCTGGGGCTGCCACTCCAGGGTGGGGCCTGGGGTCACAACCCCGGGAACAGGCAGCCAAGAAGGGAGGATGCCTTCCGTGAGGAAGCTGGGGAAAACACACACACACAGCGTAGAGAGGGAGGGAAGAAAACAAACTCCAGGAGACCAAAGCCGGCCTGGAGTGCGGCCTGGGCAGTCGATTCTCGGGGACCGAGGCCACGTTGCAGGCGGCTCACGGCCAGCAGCTCCGAGACCCTGCCCGGCCTTCCCCACAGAGGCCCAGCGCAGGTGGTGCCTGGACATGGACAGGAGAGGGAGGCTGGGCCTGGGGTGCCGAGGGGCCCACAGCACTTGGGGAGCACGGACCAAGTCAGGTACCGTGAGAGGGGAAACTGAGGCACGGGAGGGGGCCAGTCAGGGCGGAGTTACGTGTCTTCTAGACTCTGCCCCACTTCCGGTTTCCTGTGGGGTGGGGCTGAGATTACACGGCGACTGGGGGTGGTTTATAGGGCTGCTGTAGGGTCTGGGGAGCCAGAGGGCAGTACAAGGCCCTGGAAGCCCATTCGTAAGGATGCAGGGGAGAGATGGGGGCAGGAGGGCAGTGGGACAGGGTGGTGGCCTCCAGGAGAATCAGGGCACTGAGTGGGAGACTTGGGGATGGGGGACAAGGGGATTGATAGATGGGCCACAGTGGGGCCCTGGTCAAATGGATCTGGGGTCCACATCAGAAGATGTGCGGGTGGGAGTGGAGGCTGATCCAGAGTTCAGTGCTCCGGGTGGTCAGGCCCTTGTGCAGGAGAGGCTGGGGGCGGGGGATTGTGAGAAGAGGGAGGTGAGCTGGGATGTCCTGGAGTGTGAGGTCGCCTGAGCCAGCCTGGGGTGGGTGGACCCCCAAGCAGGTGTAAGAGATGGGCAAGTGCCAGGTGGGGCCTTCCATGGCCCTCCAAGGAAGAGACAAGCTGTGGGAGGGCAGGGAGGAGGAAGGAGAGCCCATCTGGGCTGTTCCAGCCTCCTTCCTGCTGGGAAGTGCCAGCTGGGATGGGCAGTTTTATCACCCCACATCCCAGGCCCTGCTGGGAGAGCATGGGGGAAGCCAGCCTGGATAGGGCAGGGTGTGTGTGGGGGGAGGGGACAGAGCAGGCGTGAGGGCTCCTTCTGGCAAGGTGACAGAGGAACATGTGGCTGGGCAGGTCAGGAATGTGGCAAGATGAGGGAGCTGGGGGCATGGAGGATGGGTGAGGGGGTGGGCAGGGCATTAGGGGTCAGGGAAAGGCTGCAGGGGCTCCCTGGCAGTGAAAAACCAACTCTCTGACCTTGTTTTCTGGTGAAGGTCAGGCACGAGGGCTGCAGGGGGTCCTCCCCACCGGGGAGGGGAGGGGAATGAGACATCTCCCGGGACAGGGGGTGCCCCTGGCAACTTGTGGGATAGCATGGCCCCAGATATCCAGCCCTCTTCCATCTCATTTTTTTAAATGCTTATTACTGGGGAGGAGTCCCTACGCTCATTTTGCCCTAGTCTCCACCATTCCTTCCTGCCCCTCCTCACTCCTTTATGAATCCACCTGGCCACAAGAGACATCAGAATTTGTGACCTGCCTTAGAGACTCTAGAAGTATCTTTTTCCCATCATTTCCTGAGCCTGAGCCCCAAGGGGCTTCCAAGGCAGGTCTGGGAGGGGCAAGCTATTTCTGTTCTCCCCAGCCATCCCTCAGCATCCTGAGGAGGCAAGCTGGGTCTAATTTGCTAAATCTCTCTAGGTCTCTGCTTCAGGTGTCCCTCCAGAGTGGAGATGCTGGACCACCCACCCCTGAAGGGGGAGGTGGGGTTGCAAAGAGTTTAGGTAAACCCCAGCACACAACACCTTCCCAGAAGCTCCTCCCCAAGCTGTCCCCAAAGAACCCAGTCACATCAACACTCCCATCCTCCGTCTTCCCAGCCCCCTCCCCAGCCTCACAGGTACCCGTGGTTAGCAAGGCAGGTTTTCTGATGGTTGTCAGGAGGGCTGACCCTGTGGGACCCTGGGCAACCGTTCCTTTGGAGCCCCACTTTGCCCAGTGGCAATGGGCAGTTGGAGGCCACCTCTGAGGTGGCTTCCAGCGCCCACGTTCAGTTCCGCTTTATTACTGTCTAAAGTCCGCACTGAGCCCCAGCCCCTCTTCCTGGAGCCTCCTTCTCAGCCAAGCCCCAGCCTGCCTCCTCCCCACAGCCCCCCAACCCCCGCCCCCATCAGAGGGCCACAGGTGCCAGCCACCATCTGCTTGCCTAGTCTCAAGCCACTTCCCCAAACCCAGGTGAGTCAGGGCTGTCTGGGGTGCTCACTGCCCGGGGACCCCGATGACTCGGCCTGGGGACCCTCCTCCCTCTCCCCATCTTCAAACAACTCCCTGGGCAAGCCACTCAGGAAAACCACAGGGTGTTTTGTAGAAGAGTTCATTATAATTTTATCAATCAAATTCTTAGAAGAGGGAAAAAGTCTGCTCTCCCCACCCTCCCCCCTAACCGGCCCCCCCTTCACTCTCACTTTCTTCCATTCATAATTTCCTATGATGCACCTCAAACAACTTCCTGGACGGGGATCCCTGCTAAATATAGCTGTTTCTCTCTCTGTCTTACAACACAGGCTCCAGTATATAAATCAGGCAAATTCCCCATTTGAGCATGAACCTCTGAAAACTGCCGGCATCTAAGGTCTCCTCCAAGGCCCTCTGGAGTCCAGCCCATAATGAAGGTCTTGGCGGCAGGTAAATCCACCCGCCCCGCGCCGGCTTCCGCGCCCCGCTGCGGGTGCAGCGGCAACTTGGGGCACTTGGCGATCGCGAGCGGGACACCCACCCGCCGCAGACACACGGACGCTTGGGACGCCCGCGCAGCCGGCCGGGCCGCTGGAGGCGCTGGGTGGCGGCCGGGAGCGAGCGCCGGCACATGGTCCCGGCAGCGCGCGCCCAGCCCGCCCGGGGGCCAGCAGGTTGGCGGGCGAGGGAGGGGGCCGCCACAGCCTTCCTCCTGCTCCTGCTCCTCCTCCTCGCCCCTGCCACTCTCCCGTGCTGCCCTTCCTGCTCTGCTTTCTCCCGGATTCACCCTCCCTCTTTCTTTCTTTCTTTCTTTCTGTCTTTCCGCTTTCTCTTTTCCTACCGCGTCCCGGGCTGCTCCCTGGGAGGGGCGCCGGCCGCCGAGCAGCTTGCAAACTCCGGCCCGGGACGGGAGCAGGTGTCGCCTCCATCTGCTAGTGTCTGGAAAGCTGTGGTCTGTGCTAGGTGAGACGGGGGTGCGGGGCCCCCCCAGCCGTCCCGGGGACTCAGCACTGCCTGGGGAGGCTAGGAGAAACGGGGGACCCAGGAGAAGTGAACTTGACGCTGCCACTGCCCCAGCAGGGGGGATCCGAGCGGGAAGCTCTTGCGCCCCACCTCCCCACAACCTCACAGGTTCTCAGCCTCACTGGTCCTCTGACCCCGGCCCCTGCTGCCGGGCCACCTGGAAAGGCCCTTCTGAGGGGACCTGAGGGTGGAGAGGGGAAGCAGACGCCCTAGGGGGAGGGGTGATCCAGGACAGGCCAGGACAGCTCCCAGCTCTCCTGTCACCTTTCACTTTCCTTCCTCCCCCACCTACCTGACTGCCTGCGACCTTTTCCCTTTTCTCTTTCCTGGTTGCACCATTCCCTCCCAGAGGCTCTGGGGGCCGGTGGGACCACAGGATTCTTCTTGTCCTAACCAGGGCCTGGGGCAAGGAGTAGAAGACAAGAGGGGGAGGGCATGGAGGTGAGGAGCTGGACAGAGCTGGGGGACAGGAAGTTTTGAATGACGATTTGGGGACCGAGGGGAGAAGAACTGCAGAATTTGGGGCAGAGTTAAGAGTCCTAGTCGGGGCCTGGCCACATTTGGAGAAGGAGAGCCACAGAAGACAGGGGAGAGGGTGGCAGAATTAGGGGACAAATGGCCCAGGGAGCCAGGATCAAGTGACAGGTTTGGGAGGGAGAAGAGGGTCAGCAGAGGGGCCCCGTCCCTCCCTCCCGCTGTGGTCCCCATGGGAACCCGATTTGGGAGATTTGGGCTGCAGCGGGTCAGTAGGCATGAAGCAACGTTTAGGAATCTGGACCATCCTGGGAGGTGGGAAGATAGGGGCCTCTCTTTTCCCTGAGACCCCCTGGCCCTGGGGAGTGATGTCTTCCAACCAGAGCGCGAGGAGGCCTTGGGGGCTTTTTCCTTCCTGAGGGAAAGGGCTGGAGGGTTGGTGTCACCCTGGACCCAGCTTCCAGCTGGTGGGAACAGCACATGTCCTGCCCCTCTGCTGCTTCTCGGGAGAGAACAGGGAGCTATAAGAAGGTGGAGAGAAGCAGAGATCTGAAGAGAGGGAGACAGAGAGAGACACATGCGGTGACATCGTGAAAACTAGAACCGCCCAGGGGAAGACAGAGCTGGAGGTGGAGCCGAGGCACTGGTGTCCCTGCAGAGACGAGGCGCATCCTCTCCCGTGAGCCCCCTTGCCTGCCCCCATAACTCCGTACTCATGGCGTCTTCCCGCCTGTTCCTAGGAGTCGTGCCCCTGCTGCTGGTTCTGCACTGGAAACACGGGGCAGGGAGCCCCCTTCCCATCACTCCTGACAACGCGACCTGTGCCACACGCCACCCATGTCAGAGCAACGTCATGGACCAGATCAGGAACCAACTGGTGCAGCTCAACAGCAGTGCCAATGCCCTCTTCGTTCTCTATGTAAGTCCCCCCCAGGGCACCGAGGAAGGAGGAGGGCGGAGGGGGGTTTGCTGCACTGATCTGGGCTGGTGGGACTGGTCAGGGAAGGGACCTTTTGCAGCTGGGGGGAGAGAATGGGAGGGGGCTTGGGTTCAACCACACCAGACTCCCACAGCTTCCTCCCCATCCCCTGCCCAGGCTCAGAGACCAGACGCCACTTTCGTAGCATGCCCAGCTAGGTAGGGGCAGAGCTGGGGGGAGAAGAGGAGGCTGGCACTTTTAGTCTTGGGATTGCACTGCCACGTGGAGCGAGGGGCCAAAGAGAGACAAAGGAGAGAGACACAGTGAGGTGGACGGGAAGGTGCCATTGGGAGAGACAGTGGGCTGTGGGTATCTGGGGGTGCAGAGCCGCCCAGGAAGAGAGTGACTGTGGTGAGTGAAAGGGCAAGTGTGTGCGGTGCACCGCTGGAGGTGAGACATGACATTTTCCTTTCTGTTCCCGTGTGGTCCTGATGATAATGGTGATGATAACCCCTTGCGTAGGCCTTGATTCTTTACCAAGTGCGTTCACATCCATGATTACTACTGGCTCTCATGACAATCCTGAGATGCCTTTAGGGCAAGTAGTTGGGGCCTCACAGCATAGATGGGAAACTGAGGCCCAAGAGTTTGCCCAGAGGCTTGGTGGCAGGGCTGGAACACCCATCCCTGGCTCTCACGTCACCTCCCTTCCTCCCCTCTGCCCCTCAGTACACAGCCCAGGGGGAGCCGTTCCCCAGCAACCTGGACAAGCTGTGCCGCCCCGATGTGACAGACTTCCCGCCCTTCCACGCCAATGGCACAGAGAAGGCCCGGCTGGTGGAGCTGTACCGCATCGTCGCGTACCTTGGTGCCTCCCTGGGCAACATCACACGGGACCAGAAGGTCCTCAACCCCAACGCCCGCAGCCTCCATTGCAAGCTGAACTCCACCTCAGACACCATGCGGGGCCTCCTGAGCAACGTGCTCTGCCACCTGTGCAGCAAGTACCACGTGGCCAACGTGGACGTGGCCTACGGCCCTGACACCTCGAACAAGGACGCCTTCCAGAAGAAGAAGCTGGGCTGTCAGCTCCTGGGGAAGTATAAGCAGGTCATCAAGGTGGTGGCCCAGGCCTTCTAGACGGAGGTCTTGAAGCATGCAGTGACCTGAGATCTTAGACTCAGGTGGCTCTCAAACTGCGGCCGGGGCCCAGAGCATCGCCAAACCCCAGCGGGGGCTGCTGGCAGACCTCGAGGGGTTCCTGGCCAGTCCACTCCCCTTTGGGGTGGGCTGCCATGATTCTGAGCAGAGTCAAATCTCCCATAGGCAGGGGCTCTATACAGCGCCTAGAAGAAGGCGCCCCTTCCTCTGGGAGACTGCAGCCTGGCACCAGGCTGTCAGGCTGTCGAGGGGAGTGTGGGCTGGACTTCTGCCCCCACTTGTCCCCTCGGCCAGGGTCTTTGTGAGCAAACCGCACATGTTGTCTCCGGCGACCCTGACCACAGGGCAAGACAGCAGGGGTTGGGGGAAATTTCCCCCTGTAGAATGACCACCATCAGTGCCTTTGCTGCCCCTCAGGTAGACTTCGGAAGGTTTGGTTGGGATTCAGGCAGGCCAGAGGGGCTGGGATGCCACAGGACTCCTTAGCCCCTACCAGTATGGTGATTGCAAGTTCGAGAAGGGAGCTCTGGTTTGAGATGCTGCCTTCTTTTGAGCATGACTGGAGAGCTCAGGCCTAGGAACTGTCAGGTGGAAGGTTCCAGAAGGAGGTCACTGGCATCCAGGCTCTTGGGGAGGGAAAGAGGCCACTTTCAGGCCTGAGAAGGAAAGCACTGGAAGGAAGAAAGGCCTTGAAAGCCTTGGCAGGCTCTCCTCCCTCTTCCCTGCAGTCTTTCCTGCAGCCTGGGATGGCCAGGGTCTGGTGCCCAGACCTGGAAGGGGGGTTTGTGGAGGTGGGCAGGTTGCAAAGTCAGACGAGGAGGTTCTGAGAGCACCCAGAGTTTTCCTTCTGGGCAAGAGTCTGGAAGGGAGGGGACAGACAAGGTAGATCAGAGTGGAAGCTCACATCTGAGGCCCACGGAGGCCCTGTGAGGTCACACAAAGGTACTTGAGGGGGACCAGAGGCCATCTCTGGTCCCTAGAGTGAGAGGACAGCAGAACTTGAGGTCAGGGTCTCAGACAAGCCTGAGATCCAAGAGTGCTGTGTGTCTGACCCAGCATGAATGTCTATTTATTATGATGTCCTATTTATATTAACTTATTGGTGCTGTAAATGGCAAAGTTAACTCCCCTTTCCCTGATCCCTACCCAACAGAAATAATATGATGGCTCTCTCCGTTGGAGCCAGGGCCAGGCCTTAGCAGGGCCTGGTCTGGAAGTCAAAGATGTTACAACTGGGATAAACCTTACAGGTGAAGCTCAGAGAAGGGTCAGGATCTGAGAGAGCTGGTCAGCCTGGATGGGGGCAGGGGACTCCGCTCCATCCCCCCACCCCAAATGTGTCTCTGTTTTGCGGGTATGGGATCCTGGCTGCAGGGCATGCCAGGCAGGTTTGTGGAGTGGCCAGGGCCTTTTTTCCCAGGGCCGCCATGTTGCTTGGCTCCAGGGGGCTCATTCCACACTGTGTTCTCTGGCCCCCCTGGAATTGAGCTGCAAGGGGCAACATTCATGGTGGAAATGGTGCCCCAGGACAGGGGGCAAGGCAGTCCTGGTGGCCCAGCCTGCCTGTCTCCTTGTCTCCACGCTGTGTCTAGACTAGCAGCGGAGGGGCCCTGAAACAGTCCTGCCCCAGCACCCAGCGTGCTCACACACAGGAGGAAGCTCCTTCTCTGGTGGCCCGAGAACACCCACAGAGGGGCCTGGCTGGCCCTCAGGAAGCTGGGGCAGTGCAGGGAGGAGCCCCCTGCTCTGGAGGGAGGACCACGAGGCCCTGGGACACAGACCAGGAAGCTGTGGTCCCTCCTGCCCCACCTCCCCCCACGCCCCCACCCATGTCTGGGCTCCCAGGCAGGGAATCCGATCCTTTCCTTTGTGCCGGGGCCAGGCTAGTGGAGAAACGCCCTCCAGTCTGGGAGCAGGGGAGGAGGGCGCAGGGCTGGGGCAGCTGCTAAGAGCAGCGTTCTGGCTTCTTCTCAAATCCTGTGCAGGCGGCAGTCCGAGCAGTTCAGCCAACGCGATTATGGTACATTGCTGTCACTTCGCACCTCGCTCTGTCTTCTCTAAGCACTTTACCCACGCCCGCTGATGGCAGGTGGGCAGGCAGCAGGCAGGACCCAGGCCTGGGGTGGGGGTGGGCGTGGGGGCTGGAGTTGGGAATTGTCCCTCGCATTGGCGAGACTATTTTGTGGTGGGTGGTGGAGGAGACCACGAGGCTCACATGTTTTCTGACGCTGTCTTAATGTGGGTCACACTTGCCCTGTCCGGGACCTCCGCCTGCTGCCCTGCCATCGCTCTGCTTCTTTGGTGAGCGTGGTTCAGAAGGCTTGGGGCCGGCTGAGTATCCCATCATCTCATCACCCCGTGGACACGGACTCCCCATGCCAGTCCCACAGGGGAGCCTCTGAGGCTCGGGGACCAAGAGAATCTCCTCCCTTGGGCCCCACACAGCCCCCGGCTCCTCTGTACTCTCGCTGCCCACGCCCTCCCCTCCCTAGCCCGGCTCTGCCCCTCAGCACCCATCCTCAATGCTCTTTCTAGAACCAGTCTGGCAGATCGGCACCCACTTTGCACAGCATCCCTGAATGATGGAACCTCTGTGGAAAGAGCTTTGCAGGGCAGGAAGCTGTCCTCTTGCTCGCTTCTCATCTGCTGGTGTGGACCCACACCTGCATCCTGGGTCACCGGGAGAGGCCGTCAGCGGAAGAGGGGGTAGGGCAGTCATTTTGCAGTTTATCAAGAGAGGAGTTTTGGGGACCTTATTTATTTTGAAAATTTTTAAACAGGAAAGCACTGCTAGTTTATTTATCTCTCCTCCTTGTTGTCTTTCTCCTCCCCCTCTCCTTGTCCCCTCCTTGGGGACCCTCCCACCCCAACAACAGAAGCAGTCCAGCTCTGCCCTGCTGGCTCTCCAGAACAGACACAGCACGTGGGGGGGGAGGCCGGAAGGGAAAGTTAATTTCCCTTGAGATGGTACAGATGGTCTTACTTTCCCATCCTCGCCAGCCCCCATCCCGATCCTGTACCTGGGCGTCTCTCCCGTCTACACTGCTAGCTCCCTGCCTCCTTCCCTGGTTCCCTCCTTCCTTTCTACTGGACAAGACTTGGCCTTGGGGACGAATTCCTCTTTGATGAATGTACCCTGTGGGAATGTTTCATACTGACAGATTATTTTTATTTATTCAATGTCATATTTAAAATATTTATTTTTTATATTGAAGGAATATCTTTTTTTTTTTTTAAAGAAAAAAGAGAAATTAATAAAGAATCTGCTCTTGGCAAGCTCTCCAGAGTGTATTGATGTGGGGAGACGGGGCTGGAGGGGCTGGGACTGTCTCTGTCCTGGGCACCCTGCCGAGTGGGGCTCTGCTTGGCAAAGGGCAGTGGGGGCGAGAAGAGGGGGCGCTTCCACTGGGCAAGGGTGGGGCAGGGGTATGGGTGGGGCAGGTGGAACTTTGGCTCAGGCAGAGCAAGGTGGGTGGGGTTCCAGATCATGGGGTGCTGCCAGGAAAGGTGTGGGCTGCCCCAAAGTGGGGAACGTATTAGTTGATGTCTTAGTTCCTTCACTCCCAACTCCTCACTTCCCTCCCACTGTAGTCCCACGAGTCCCCAAGAGTCATCATCCCCATTTCACAGAAGGGGAAACTGAGGCTCAGAGAGGTGAAGCCACTTGCCCAGGGTCACACAGGCACAGTGTTTAGGGCCACCACTTTAGCTCTACATCTCATGTTCTTTCCCCTACGTGGAACTTCAGGGACCTAGAAGACAGCAGTTGCGGAGGCCTCTGTCCACGAGGAATGGTCCATTGACCATGCGAGGGGAGCCAAAGGGAACAGGCATGAGTGACTGTGCAGCAGGAGGTTTAAGGGTCCTGTCCAGAATCATGCAGGATGCTGGGGCCAGAACCAGGGCTTTTACATCGGGCTCTCCTGGGCCTGAGCAGCTCTCCTGCAGAGGACAGTGCCGTCCCTCCTCCTGCTCACACCTGGGGACCCCCTTCCACAGCAACCTTCTCCCCAGCCACCTGGCCCCCTTCCTTGGGGAACAAGCGGGGTCAGAACTGGATGGCCACAGACACAGGGGATCTGGAGCAGCCCCTAATGTCTCCCCTGTGCTTTGCTCTGGAGTTTGGGTCTGGGGCTCCCCCAGCCGAGATTTGTCTGGGGATCTGGGCAGTTTTTCTGAGAGTCACTTCCTTGCTTGTTCATGAATGTTTATAACTGTCAGGTCCTGTGTTGGGTTCCAAAGGTGAATAGGATACAGTCCATGCCTTCTGGAAGCTCACAGGCTCACAAGTGGGGACAATGAATGAGCAAATCCCAGAGGATGTGAGCGATGGAAGAGGCACACGGAAGGTGCGAGGCCAAGGTGGAGAGAGCGCTCACTGCTCCAGGCAGCAGCAGGGGCCTCGGCCGTGGTCCTCTCTGCTCTGTGCAATGAAGGGACTAGACCCACAACATCGGCAATGCTGGCCTCATCCGGGAGCTGAGCAGAAATGCAGAATCTTGCCCCCATCTGACCCCAGACTTGCTGAGTTGGAATCTGCCCTTTAACAGGATCCCAGGCGATCCATGTGCAAGTTACAGTCTGAGACAGGCCACCCCACACGCCTTCCATCTCTCACGCCTCCTGAGTCGATGAAGGCGCCAGGCGTAAATTAATCACCAAGGGCAGCCAGGCAGCCGCTTGAGAGGGAGAGGCCGGCTGGCCACCAGAAGCCCGACCCACGCTGGTTCGGACTCTTCCTCCCGAAGGCGGTCCGGCGTCTCAGCCCCTCCTGGCTGGCTGAATCCCATGGCCAGGCCACACCCCATAGCATCCCCCACTCCTTCCCCCTCGCTCACGGGAGACAAGGTTGAAGCTTTTCAAAAGAAACGTTTACTAGGAAACTAGAGAAACAAAACAAATGCCAAAGCACAGAAATGAGGTTGGGTCCAGGGACGACAGGTCCTAACGGCTGTCCTGTAGGGCTGGCTGGGCGGCCCAGGCCCTTGTTCTTCCCTCGCCTCTCTGGGGGGGGGGTGATCCGCCCCAAGGAGAGGGCAGGTGTTTTGTTCTCTGCCCTGCCCAGAGAGAACAAAGCACTGTTAATTGGTTACTGGGTCACTCTCCCAAAAAGAGGTGAAAACAATCCCTCGGTGGGAGGAAGGGAGGCCGCCTGCTCTGCAGGGAGGGTTCTGCCCTTGAGGCCTGGGTCCTCTGGACCACGTGCAGCCCTGTGAGCTCAGCTCCCTTATCTGTGAAATTGTAGGAGCAATCGGTGATGAATGCTCTCCTATCTGCTTCACAAGGCTGCCAAAAGGAGCCCCCGAGCAGGGAGATGGAAATGCTGTGTGAATTGGGACCAGCCAGCCCATCCACAGGTGGAGATAGAGAGGGCAGAATGAATCTCAGACACTGGTGCCCTCTCTGCAGGGCAAAGGGGCGGTCCTTTCCCGCAGTGAATGCATAAGGGAGGAGCTGACAGCTCTGAGTCCAAGGCCGGGTGGCCAGGCTGATGGGGAAGGGAGCCGCCAGGGTGGACAAGCTTCCAGCTGATGCTGCTCTGACGGTACCCTGAGCCCCAGGCCTAGAGGAGACCTGCACAGAGAGGCCTCCTGAGCTCAGCGATGTGGGGGAGCCAGGGGCAGCCTAGATACCCAGCTGAGCCTTCTCCCATCCCAGCTCTCAGCAGGTCAACAGGACAGGGAGGGGGACCTCCATCCCAAGAGCTTGATTGTCAACAGCAATCCCACTGGAGGCACAAGCCACGGGCTCTGCGATGGCCCTGCACTTCACAGTTTACAAAGTGTTTTCTCACCCATCGTTAGATCCTCCCAACTGTTCTGAGGGTGGGACTAGATTACTGTTTCCATTTTACAGATGAGGAAACTGAGGCGCCAGGAGGCTAAGGGACTATCCTGACATCCCTCAGCTTGTGAGACATGCTCTTCATGTTTGCTCGTCTTTGTGGTCGTCATCTGTCCACTTACCTGGTCAAGACAAGCAAGGGCCTCTGTGAGCCAGGCTTTATACCCAAGGAGCTCAAGGTTTAGTGTTAGAAGAAAGAGAATTTCCCAAGTCCTCTGCCCTAAATTCAGCTGATGCAGAAGAGGAATTCATTTGTCATGCTAAACAGCCACATCTTCAGAAATAAAATTAATGTCATAATGGAACCATGATGTATTTATTTCCCTATTTACTTCTTTGTTCTAAACAGCATGCAAAGCCGCTTACAACAGAAGGCACATAATAAAAGTACTGATAAAACAGATAAAGAGTATCAGCATCAGAGAATATATAAACAGAATGAGAAAACTGAGACTACAGAAAGAAAGAAAATAAATGTTTCATATCACGAAGGGTCACATAATTACCATGGCTGAGCTTCAAAGTTGGCTCTGAGATTCCTGGCAGCTAAAGCAATAAGGGAAATGTGATCTGTTATGCAATTCTCATAGTCAGAAAGGATGAGGCTTTCTCAAGCCTCAGGGAAAGCAGAGCCTGTCCTGGGACTGGGTTGTGAAGGGGATTTCTCCCTCGAGGCCCATGGGGGGTTGTGGGTGAGGCAATGGGCCCTACCTGCAGCAAGTGGATGCCTGGGGGCTGTTTCTGCAGTGATCTTTGCAAAAGCTGATGCCCAGCACCCAACGCAGGGGATTCTACAAGGGCCAGGATGACACAGGGGCAAACTGGGGCTTTGGCCCGACCCGCAAGTGGACTTCAGAGTCCCAAGGGGGTAGCAGGGGCTGAATATGCCTCAGAAACTCCCCTTGTCCCAGGATTTTGAAAAACCTTTTTATTGATGCATAATATACAAAATGGGCAACAGATGACCTCCTTCCTCCTGGAGGATTCTGAGGGGCTGGAGTGACGGCGGGTGGTGCATGTGGGACGGGCGGGAAGGATGGCATCATGACGGAGGCAGGGATTCGGGGGTCAATGGCCTTACGTTTCTGTGTCTGTCTCACTCCAAGGCCACTTGGGTCCTCTGGGACCCAGCAGAAAGCCTTTTGCTGGCCACTGGCTTCAGCGTCCAGGACACTTCCCGCGCCCCCTCCTGCGGAAGCAG